TTTGTTTAATGTTGACAATAACATGGTGAAGAAAATTAGAAAAATGCACTGCAGAATGAAACAGAAAATGCAGCTCAGTTCCAGGCTTCATGTAAGCATGTGATCCAGGCATATACCAGACAAGGAGAGCTTGGACTTCACAAAAGTTGGAAATTATTGATGTTCAGGAAAACAGGACCTGGTAAGTAACCTCTGTCAGAGAGAAACCTGTCATCATCAGAGAAGTTCTGCTATTAGTTTTAAAAGAATATCCACAAGGTTCTTTTTCTGGACAAAGAAGGTCTTTTGGGCTATGCTGAGTATGAACTCAAGCACACAAAAATACCAGTTCCTGATATTGGTAAGCTAGAAGAAAAGTAAGGATTGAAAGTTCTGCTGCATAGTCAGGCAAAGGTGATCTGTGGCCCAATGTAGTAGTGTAGAAGTTTAGAGAAACCCAGCAAAGCAGCTGTAATTTTTAGCTGTAATTGATTTTATAATTTGATATTTATATAATGCACAAAAAGTATGTAGTCATGAGGGACAGAAAAAATTCTGGTGCCATTTGATTTTCTTGGGAGTTATATCTACTCCCATTTGTTGCCTGTCTTATGCAGGTTTCCTTGAAAAAGGTTTTCTACTAAGACAAATAACTACATGATGATTAAAAGAGCCCAGTGATCCAGTAAGACTGAAAGCATCCACATACTTTTGGTTAACCAAGAAAGAATAAAATGTCAGAACTTTTCTTGCAGAATTAGCTCTGTTTTAAGCTTACACCAAACTTCTACAGCTCAACAGCTAAAGTTAGTAAAAAATATATAAGCTGGCTATGTATCCAGGACATTGAGCTTATTTTCTCCACTAAAAACAAGAGCTCATTGGAGCTGCTCTGGGAGTGACCAAGAAATGTCCTCCTCCATTCCTACAAGTTACACTGTTGTTGTTTCTGTGTATCCATTTTAGTTGGGTTTTCTGAGCCTACGCAGGCAAACAGCTTCAATCTGTGGGATAAAATACAATGGATGAGCTTGGTGATCCATCTAAACTACCCTCTTGGCACAAAGGTACAATTTCAGGAAGAGCTGCCTGATGTTACATGGTTGGCCATGTGACTTTTGTACTACTGCTCACCACTTGCTTCTGAGAGCCCAAAGGGATTGCAGAAGTAAGCCAAGGGAAGAGCAGTGTTCATTCTGCAGTGGGTGATGAGTAAGTCCCACAAGACTTTTCTTCTGTTTCTTGAAGTAGAACATGAAAGTTATTAGGTCTTTAATTTGGTAAATTAACTTGTGGCTTAAAATGCTGAAGGATGAAAGCTACAATTCAGGCATAATGAACTTTCCAGTGAACTTTAACTTTGATTAAAAATGTAATAAATATTGGTTTGAAATATTTAGTGGAGTCTCTGCTGTCCTTTTGTCTACCTTTCTCCTTTATCTCTCATTTTTCTATGCTCTGTTCCTCTTCTGAGAGGGTCTCCCACTCCTGACTGAGGGTATTTGGAGCTGTGAGACCCAGAACATGGGGTCACAGCTCTGCCAGGCAGAGTAGCTGTGCAAGTGGAAGTGACTGCTGCCCACTGACCTCCTTCTCCAGTGGATCCAGCTACATGGAAAGCAGCCTCTTGCTCCCACAGTTACACAATTGCCAAAAATCTGCACTGTGTGAGCAGGCAGGGCCATGATGAGCTCACCCAAGGACAGGGATGGCTCCCCCGAGGGCAGTGTCCTGCCAGACAGCAGGGACAGCACTGGGGCTGTCACTTGCTGGCCAGTGGTGCCTGCCTTGACTCAGTGTCCCCCTGGGCCTGCAAGAGATTTAGAAGGGTCAGGAGCATCCTTGCAGCTCTGCCAGAAAAGGAAACATTTTCCAGTTTTAACCTCTGGAAACAGACAATGTTCATGGCTACCTGAGGGAGATGGGGTGTCCCTAAGAAAGTCTGTACTTCTACTGAATGTAGAAATTTTAAATGCTTCCTTTTCAGCATGATGAATACTTTAAATTCCCACTCTGTAGGTATTTAAGCTTCTTTTTCTTTCCTATGTCCCTTCTTTTAGCACAGAGAGAAACAACCTTCACTGGTTTCAGTTAACCTATCTTCACATTTCAGTCATTCAATCTTTACATTTTTTACACTTGTTTTCTTTTCTGAGTATTTCACGTGGTAACATCCCATCCCAGAAAAAAAGACCATATAAATTAATGAGAAAAAAAAGTATCAGTCTGGAATAAACACAGAGACTCTGAATATTTCAAAAACATCAGTACATCAGTGCATTTAAAATTTAGATTTATTTCTTAACTTGGTTTAACTGGCAGTCCTAAACCACCTTATTTTATGATACATTATTCCCACCAGAAATATTCAAGCTGTCACAGGAGTTTATTTTAGTTTGCAAACATAAGAATCAGTGAAATAGGTAAAGTAGACTTCACTGGCAGTGAAATCCCATTCACTCACATTAGCTAAGGCTTTTTACTGCACTTAGATGTTGTCTCAGGCTTTGATTTCTGGCTATTATTCTGTGCTCAGATCTGTTCTAAGTGCCTTTTCCTGCTTATATATAAGAACATGCAAAAATATTTGCAATATCAGGATGTGATCCAGATTTTCAGAAAAAAAAGACTGGTAAATGTACCTTTTTGAAAGTACCTATTAATAAACTTAAAAATTAGTAATTTCCAATCAAACAAACACACAGCCTTATGAACCCTGGCAGATGTGTTGCTGTGGGTTCTTTTCAGCTGGCACCTTTACTGACCTCTTTGCTCACTTTCTTCCTACTGTATTTTATATTTATACTATATTTATATCCTGTAGTTTAAACACACCATACAAAGAATCACTCCTCCCCATTCAAATATGCCAGTGAGCAGGATGCATTTTTTATCAAACAACTATCCAAAACAAACGTGTAAGAATTAATGAAGACATTATGTCCCAAAATAAAACCAGGAGAGTTCAATATGACAAAATTACTGCTTCCTATTCTCTGATAATCAAACCTGACAGCTTCTCCACTGCAAAACTAATTATTTGGATTCCTTATGTGCCTAAACCCCTGATTAAACACCATTTTGCCTGTTTGCACCATGTTCTTCTCACCAGTTTCTATAAATATTGCACATGTGCACCCATTGGTACCGTCTGTAACACAAAACCAGTGGGAGCATTCCAAGTTGCAAAGCTATCCATTGGTAACCTGTTTGGACAGAGGTGTTAAGAAAGGAGGCTTTGTTCTTTATTTTTTAAACACTAGATGGCATTGCTTCCTCCCCCTGCCCCCCAGGGAAAACTTGAAGATGAAACTTGATTAATGTAAGAGAAGAATTAGTGGCTTGCAAGTTTTGCTATGACTTGATAGGCCCTTAAAAGCCTTTCCTGTAAATCTTAACTCTCGACTGTGCCACCAAGCCTTTGGTTTGTATTCCTCTGTGTGCAGCCCCCATACTTCTCCATGCACCAAGGAATTTCTGAAGCACTACTGGTGGAACGGTTTCCTTCAGGATCCTTTAAGTAAAGCTACGGGTGATAGATACTATGATGCAAAATATTTTCTTACATAAACTTCGTGTCCTCAAGATGCTAATTGACGTGGATACATCCCTGGACCTTTCCTTCTCCAGCTGATTCTGTTTCTTTCATCACATATATTCATGAGCTACAGCAGGAACCAGAACAAGCTCTGAGGCAGGAAGGAACTATACAACCGCTTTTCCCCAGGGCCCTTTCCCACAAGACGAGAGGGATTGGGTTCCTCTCTTTATCATATAGCAGGAGCCAGAGCCAGTAGGGCATTGTCCAATTAAAATTAAATAGCAGCTGTTGACAGTTGCTTGTGGGCTAAATTGGTTCTGTGGGGAATAGGGAATAGCTCATTAGAGCCGCCATCTCCATGAAGAGCTGATTGTGTCCTGGGCGCGGGGGCTTCTAAGGCTGGAACCTGCCTTCGGTCCGCACCAGGCTTACGTGCAGCGTTTGGTGCTGCCACACTCGCTGTCACGGCCCAGACTTTTCTTCTCCTACCTCGGTGTAAATCTTAGTAAAAATTAACCACAGAGAACGCGCCGTTCCCAGACAGGGTGCTCATCCACCTTGGAGCAGCACCCCTGGCCTGACCCGCAGCACGGCGGGGGAAAGGGCAGAGCCGAGACGCGTTCCCTGTCTTGCTTGGCCCCTTTGGCCGAGCAGAGGAGGCCGGGCGGGCTGGCTTCTCCCGGGGGAGTCCCGCTGGACCGAGCTCCGCGGGGCCGGGCCGGGAGCAGCTACCTTGGCTGCCCGGGAAGGGTGAGGCTCCAGTTCGGGGAGCCACAGGTAGGCGGCGGCCTCCTGCTTTTCCCAGGTTCGTGGAGGTTTTTTTCCCCCCTCCCTTCCCTCCTCCTCTTTTTCCAGCTCTCGCTTTCCGGGTTGGGAGTTTGGTGCGTTCAGAAAAGTGCCTGCAACGGCGCGGGGTTCCCCAGGTGGAGCTGGTCCGGGCTTTCTCTCCCCTCCTCCTCTGGCTGGCTTTCCTCCTTTGTGGCCGCATCCAGGGCGCTTCAGTCCCCCTCCCACGCTTCCTCTTTCCCTCCCTCCCCGCCTCATCTTTACTTCGGGGAGAGAAAGCCGGGCTCTTTCCTGTCTCCCGGCCGGCCCGGGCTCTCACCGCGCCCGCCGTGCGGCGGTGCTGCGCCCCGCTCCGCTCCCCCTCCTCTCCTCTGCCCTCCCCTCCCTCCTCCCGGGGCCGCTCCCGCCTCCGGGGGCCACTCCCGCACATGGGCGCCGCTCGGGGCTCCCCCTGCGCCCAGGCGGCGGTGGCGGCTCCCCCCCAGCCCCGTAGCGCCTAGCCCGGCAGCCCTCCCTCCCGCCCCGATTCATTTGTTGTTGTGCTGTTCTCTCTCTCTCTCCCTCCCTCTCCGCTCCCTGAACTTTTGTCACCGCGGCCGCTGCGCCGATGAAGACTTTTCGCGCCGGGGACGCCTAGCTCTCCCCCCACCCCTGCCGCTGCCGTGCCCCGCGCTGCTCCCCGTCCCCGGCCGCGATGCCGTTCCCCCTGCGGACCCTGGAGCCGCTGAAGCTGTGCAGGTTGGAAGAGGCCGGCGGGGATGGCGCGGAGCGGGGCGGCCCGGCTCCCGGGGACCACGCCGGGACGGCGGAGGGGGGCGGCGGGCGCCGCCGCGGCTCGGTGCCGCTCTTCGGGACGCTGGAGCAGGTCAGCTCGTACGCGCTGGTGTCGCTGCTGATGCAGCTCTCCGACCTCTCCCGCTGCGCCGGCGACATCTTCGGCGGGATCCTCAGCGAGGCGGACTCCCTGTGCCACCGCAACGCCCGGCTCCAGCGCCGCCTCGGCGCCCTGGAAGAGCTCCTCGCCCGCCTCGACCACCGCAAAGTCAAGATCCGTGAGTACCACCCTCGCCCGGCGCTGCGAGCTCGTTCGGGACGGTGGCGGGGCGGCTCGGGGAGCGGGAGGACCGCAGGAGGGCGGCCGCCCGGTGGCGGAGCTGTTGGTGCTGCAGGCTGGGCTCTAGTCTGTGATTTATTTGAAAATAGAAAGGAAAGAGGGACACCTAAGCATCCCCGTCTCTCTTTTCCCGTATTCGGGGGCAGCGGCCGCCTCCGGTCCCGCCGCGGCTCCTCCCGGGCCCCCCGGTGCCCACGGGCTGTAGCGCGGCGCTGCTCATCCCCCTCCGGGACACCCGGCCCCGGCTCCGGCCCGGGATGTCGGCGGCCCGAGCGGGAGGGGCGGTGTCAGCGTGCGGGACCGGCGGGCGCGGGTGCTCCCCGGCGCTTCTGTGCGGCCGAGCCCTCGCTCACCGGGGAGAGAACGTGGCCGGGGGCTGGCCGGGGGCGGGGGGCGCCAGCACCGGGAGCCGAGAGCGCTGCCATCCCGGGGGAGTTTGTTTATGTGCTTATGCCGGGTGTGCGCTAGACTTGGGATCAGCCGAGCTTCTGACAGTTCAGCCCACATGCCTGATTAATTCTTTTGTATGTTCGTGGAAAGACCTCAGTAAATAGAAACCTGGATGTATTTTGCAGCTGGGTTTGTGTCTCTCGGTTCTCTCGAGCTTCTGTTCTTTGTGCAAAGCTGATTTAAAACTTTGAGATTTCAACTTCATACGGAGCCCAGGCAGCAAGATGCAGATTCGGCCTCGAATTCCTAAGTACTGGCAGCATGGGAGGCTGTTCTTGAGTTTCTTTCAGAGCCTGTAAAGTGGCCCTTAGAAGTGACTAATTGTACACCTACACAGAGGTATAGGAAAAGGTGGTTTGTTTGGTTTTTTTTTTCCTGAGCTTGGTCCAACTTTGGAGAAAGGACCCAGTAAAAATTGGCCTCTGGTACATGAAGTTTTGTTTATGCGAGACCAAGCTCCCCACAGACAATGTGGGAGATGGCTTGCAACATCAGCTTAGCTTTCTCAATGTGCTGGAAACAATCAGGAACCCAAAGAATTGTGTTGCAACTTCTGTGGCAGCTATAGAAGGTGTAAGCCCAGCCTAAATAGGGTTGTTGCTCAGAGACCACCGACAGTTTTCTTCTGACTGGAAGTAGAAAGCTTGCTTTCCATTTGGCACACTTATGAGCAAAATTGATAAGGAAATAAGCTAATTGATAATTTCAGAAATAAGATTTAAAGGGTATGAACCCTGTATGGATAACTTACCTGTTTCATTGCAGAAGTATTCCTTATGGTATACTGAGTATGTGATTTCTCTGGGGAAGCACACCTTCATCATTCATACCAAACCTTGTGGTTTTAAAGTGTGAGGCTAAAGTTTTGTGCTAACCAGTTTTACTTTTTTAGGTGCTTTATAACTGAATGATGAATAGAAGGAGAATTTCTTCCTCACCAGGACAAGTATAACCTTTCCTGCCAATATAGTTGTGTTAATTAGGAATGGTATGGTGCTGTCACACTTGGAATGCGAGTGTGTTATTACTGAGGATATACACCTGCAGTATAGTGGTGTATTAAATTGATTGCCTGATAGGAAGCAATATTTATTTATCTCAGTTTAAATAGAATGCTAATGATTACCATACACTGATGCAATGTCTATAAAGGCAAGGGTGAAATAAGGCTACTGCTGCACTGAAACCCTGAAATTCTAGGTGTCAGACTCTTACTGATTGTATTCTTTCTTAGTCATCCTTTTGCACAAATTATATATTCATTAATTGTTGGTGTTGTTGTTACAGCTCAGTTTTTCGGGTTAAGCCTCTTATTGCTTTTAATTTGATGGTCTTTGCTCTTGTGATTGTATGCCCAAAACAAGATGCAGTTCTTATGTTTGGTTTTAAATTCTTTGCTAAGTGTCATGTCTTCTGTTCATTCAGTTTTGCTGTTTGCAATCTCATTGCTGCTGCTGCTGCTATATTCACTTTTCAAAGATCTCGTTCATTTAAGTCTAAGAGAATTCACGATTATTTAGCTCTAATTATTTTTGGTGTTTTGGTTGATTTGTTTTTTGTTGTTTATTGGCTTGGGATTTTTTGGTTTTGTTTTGTTTGTAAAGGATGGTTATTTTATTTACCTGTTCAGTCAGTAGGAATTGATGTGTAGGCTGAGCATATTGACATGAAACTGTACATAAAGCCATGGCAATTCCTATAGGCTTTCTGGATACTGCAGTCTGCTCAAGGAGATCAGGTAGGATGCTCAGTTGCAGTTAGAGTCATGAACATCTCTGTAATATAAGCTGTCAAGACTTGTCTGCAAATTTAACCCTGTTCCTGACATTAAAGGGAACTATATGGAAAACAAGGAAAATGGTTTAATAATGCTGTCTTTGTTTGGGAACAACAGCAAGGGGGATTTTTCCTTCCTATTTTTGAAGTCTCATGGAGAAAGCTGTTTGCTGGTGCAGAATGTAAGAACAATAAGGATTGTAGAATTGCTTTCCCATTTACTAGGTTTTTACTAATCATAAACCTTTTCAGATATTGTAAACTACTGCACCTTTTGTGGTGCACAAGTAACACACAGGTGCAACATGACATTGTGTCAGATGATTTCAGTAATTTGCTCTTGCATTCAGGATGAGGGGATAGGACACTGTACACCTGCTTTTCAAATCACTGGTAATTTCTACTTGAATAAATGGCTTTTGTTCTCTTCGTGGGGCCCAGACAATAATTTCCTCTTGCAACTGAAGGTCTCAGAACAACTTTTGAGATCTCAGCATGATGTTGTATGGGAAGGACCAGCAGAGGACTAGAAAACTTCAAATCTGGGTTACAATCACTTTTTGGGAAGTAGCTGCAAACTGGCAGCTGGTAGAAGATATGCAATGTGTGTCCATGGTGCTTGGGAAAGTACCATACTTTGAAATTGTGGGTTTGTGTTTTTTTTTCTTTTTGCACTATCATAATTTTGTTTCAAAGTGAAGTTTACGTGCAGTACCCTTCAGATAAGAGGGGTCCATCAGTGTTTGTTCCTTGCTGAGCACGGGCAGGGGTGTGAGGGAGGGAAAGCAGGAAGAACAAAGCTCTTTGTCTTCACTCAGTGACTCTCTGCAGTCATTGACCGTGCTTGCTGCTCTGTCTCTACAGTGTCCTTGTGTGCCATATGCTCCTAGATCTAGATGTTAGAGTATGAATAGGTAAATGTGCATCAGATATCTCTGATGTTTCTCTTTGGTCACATACTCACTGGTATTTTGTAGGGAATGGATTAGTTCAAGGACATCCATTCACCGCTCCACATGGGAGAGAATTTTCTGATGTGGCAGACTGGTTGAGGATGTGCTGTGGTGCAGTAGGTGCTATGTCCTTGCAACCCTTACTAGGGATAAACTTCCCCATGTCTGGAATTCAGCCATGCCCTTCAGCTGGGAGGCCTCCTTTCCAAGGGTTTTGTACTGGTGTGCCACATGTACCTGGAGAGTTTCATTTCATGTCTGCTTCAGCGCTTTGAGGGCAGCTTTCAGGTGTATGCAAGCTTGGTGATGGCTAAATTTTCAGATTCATTAGAATGACTGAGTTTTCAGATTCACTACAATGACTCTGCTTTCTCTGGTTCGGTTTAGTTCTCTTTAACTTTTTGTTTACAGTGGCAGTGAAGTTTCTTGCTCTATTCCTCCAGCTGAGAAAATTGTGCTTGACAGGATTTCAATACAAGGCTATTTTTAAGGCCAGTTAGTAAAAGGGTTTCCTGACATGTATTTGAGCTTTGCATAATGAGCAGGGTGTTGTGCCACTAGGAGGGACATCAAAATATGATGAGACACGGCCCTATGGGCTGATGACTGCTTTATAACTCATGGTGATGGGAGGCACTAATGGCTCAAGGTGCCTTATAAAATTCAAGTGTAGTATGCAGTACTTGTGACCTTAGTTCAGCTGCACCAGTCACATCTAGAGAATTAATTAGATTCAGTACATTTTTTAACAGTCTTTCATCAGGTTTTCATTAAGCTTATGTGTGTTGCTGTTTTGCATGATGTTTTGTCATATGTTTCCAGCATCCAGCTGCCACAATGTGTTTTACACCACAGGACTTGCCTAACAGCTTTTTATTTTCTAGCAGTGTGCATCTGTAGCTGTGACCTAGCATCAGGTGATGGAGTTTTTCATCACTTTTGGTTCTCAAATGTCAGGGTGGGTGAGGACAAGTGCCTCTTTGAAGTGATCAGAGCTCGTCAAAAGCATATAATGGCTGCAGAGAAATCTTGCATGAATTACAAGGCCAACTCTTGGGAAATGCTGTGGGGCCTTAGACAGTCATTGTTTTTGTAGGACATGAAGAAGGACATTTTTTCCATTAATATTTGTCTTCTGCCATCTGCTGTTATTTATGCAAAAAATATTATTGCTGTTCTTTTCTGTAAATCCCAATGGTTTGACAGACTGGAAGGCTGTTCCTTCCATCCTCTCTGCTATTTATTTTAAAGTCTTTCTGAAGAGATTATTTGAGAGAGATGCTGGGAGTTTAACCTAATGACAACTTCTGGTTCAGTGTCTCCACTGACAGGATGGGGTTTGGCCAGTTGCACCTCCTATTTTAACAAGGAGCCGATGTTGTGGGAGGGAGGAAATGCTACCTCCTAATTAGTGTTGCTTAAAATCCTTCAGTGTTTGATTTTAAAGGCACAGCATAATAATTTGATTTTGATGCACAATGTCTATACATATGTATGTTCTTGTTGGGTTTTTTTTCCCCCCTCCAAGTTTAAGGACATTACTGCAAGAGAACTGGGGGCATGGGGAGTAAGGCTTTCTATTTGTCTGCATGATGGAAGGACAATCCAGTTTACACTTCATCTCCTGCTATTTTGTTTAGTAAGTATTTTCCACTCTTTGTGTGCAAGGCAGTGCTGGAGCACATTTCCTGCTTTAGCTGAACAGGAAGCTTTATTCAGCTTATTCCTAGGGAAACCCCTCCTCCATCCCAAGCCACCA